CGTCGACGTCCTCGAGCAGAACGACGCAGCGCTGGGGAAGGTCGGCGAATAAGGCACTAAGCCGCATATCGTCGATGCCGGCAAGACTAACGACATAGATATCGAGACCGAAGCAGCCGGCAATAGATATACTGAAGCTCGACTTTCCGGTCCCAGGGCGGCCGTACAACAGGTAGCCCCTCCGGTACGGCAGCCCGCGACTGGCGTACCAGGACCGAGCGTTGGGGTTAAGAAAGGCGCGAATGTCGTCCAGGAGCGTTTGCTTCAACTCTTCCTTCATAATGACAGTTTCGATCGGCCTAATTTCTCGGGTCATGGTTCTTTTCCAGCCATTGTTGTGGTGTTCGAAAATAGAAGTTTTGTTCTCTGAAACTCTGAGGTATTCAACGCGGCATTCATTCATGAGATCTCGTAGGATTTGAGAAGAACGACCAACACAAGAAACCGTCATTGTTTTGCGCGGAAACAACGCCAGCTCATTTTGCGTGCATTGCAGAAAGAGAAGACGCCCTTTGTACCAAAAAGACATTCGATCTCTCCACGGGGTAAATCGAAGGGGTTTCTTGGTCGTAGTGTCGTAGTCTGGATGGAGCAGAACCCGGCCTCGCCTGCCATCAACGCTGGCAAGGGATGAGCAAGCGGTTTTGGCAAAGTTCTGGGAAGAGACCCAGTATTCGAGCATGTCGTATGCCTCATCAGGGTCGTGAACGTCGGTCCTAGAAGCTGAGAGACGTCAGTACTGTTCTGAAGCGTTGAAAAAGAAGGACAACCGACTTAAGTAGGTATCTACGAAGCCACCCACGGTATTGCAAAGAAACTTGCCACCAAAAATGAATAATCCGAAGACGCACAACAGCACGGCGTAGTTGTCTAGGGTGCCGTTCAGAAGCTGATTCATCGCCGCCGTGACACCGCTGAAGCCTGGGAAGAAGATATCCACTATGGAGACATGAGTAGAACTCGAAAGGTGCATGGCGTCGATTCGAAGAGTGTCCTGCGGAATATTGGTATTCGTCAAGATAGTAGTTCAGGGTTGACTGAGTGGCCGATTTCAGGTGACAATACAGCAGAACCAGGAGCTAGAAATAGAACTGAGATGCGTAGAGCACAGCTGTACGGCCGTTCACCGGCAAAACTAGGCAACCAGCCGGGCTTTTATATCTTGAGCTCTGTCTTGAGACACATGGCAAGACTCAACACGAAGAAGCCGCCGTCCGAGTGATAGGACTCGATGCAAGCAGCGGCCGTTGGATCCAGCCAGTGCATGTCGTAGGAGGCGTCGTGCTAATCCCCTGCTATCGGGGAAGACCTGGTACGACCATGACTTGTATTTGCCTGGTCATTGATTGCACCCCTATGAAGCATACTCGGCATCCACGGTTTGTTCGTCCGTCGCTTGTCTTGAGCACATTAGGAGTATGTGTATGGATGCTGCTATGGCCGCCATCCTGGTCGACGCAACCTTGGCCCATTCTCTCCATTGACGTGCCTGTCTATGCTATCGCATTCAAGCATGCATGGTGTCTAGCTAAGATCTATGTTAGGGGGTCTAGATTTGGACCTCGTATGTGAGGCTCTCATGCCGTTCCATGTATCCCTAGAGCGGTAGGTTTCTATCGCGTTCATAGGACCCTACCAATGAATGAATGAATGAATGAATGAATGAATAAATGAATGGATGAATGATGAAGTAGGCCGGGCTTTTTTGAATTGTTGGAATGCATGTATGAATACATAAATGCATGTGCGAGTGAATGGATGGATGCATAAATGCCTGGAAACGCACTCAGGCGCAGCTGTCAAAATGAATAGATGGATAGATGCATGTGGGAATAGATGGAGGGGCACTGCCTCGGGCCTATGTATATCCGCAACGACACCTTTAGGTTTTGGAAATGATCAGGTGTTAACGCGGGGTGAGCAAACCTAACCATACTTCCTGCTACCCGAGGAAAATCTGGGTAAGCTTGCGCGCTGTCTCAAGTTTTAGGGGGGGGAGTTCTTGCCATATGTTTTCATACTTTATCTAACTGCTTGCCCTGAAACAGATTCTTCGAGGTCTTCATTCTGGCCTCTACCACGATCCAACGCAAGACTCGACGCGAGAAACGTAAGACCTGCGACAAAACCACAACACCTCCCCAACGATCGATGGAATGAATAAGATTCGTATGAGGACTTCGTCAATCAGACAGCTTGTTAAAAGGTGTCAGAAAGATGTAGGGCACGCTCCGGAGAGCAGAATGGCAATCGCTGACTGGCTTGAAGACTGGGAAAAAGTGTTCTGGCCCCAAGGAATGGCCGGAGTTGCGAGACCTGGACTTGCGCGAGCCAAGTGCGGGTACCGTTGCTTTGCTAGTCAACATGCATATCGAACCCGGAGAACAAAACGCTGTGTATATTCACGACTCCAATGACGATCAAGTCGCCATGGTAGGAAGTGGCGACTACGAAGGGTACTCTGTCATAATACCATGGCAGATTGGGCTGAAGTACGTTTGCTATGGGTCATGTAAGGTAGCCGAGGTAAAGGTAATCGAGGATACTTCTACATGAGCTGTTTCTTACTCTTTGTCAATCTTAAAGCTGCTTTCCCCGAAATCCTGAAAGTGATGAATGAGGACGTTCCTTCATGCACAGGAATAGTCAACGTGCCTTCACCTGAAAACATGTGATCTGAAAGTAGATGGATGCCTTCTCTCGCCGTCAACCCGTACACTTTGCCATCGAGCCGAACTGAACCATATATATTAGCACCGCTTGCTAGAGGGTTTTTTGTAGTGTCATACCTTCTTGAGTTCGTGCTGTTTGAGCAGATCTGTCAGGAGCTAGAAGGGGGACTCTTCCTTCGTTATCACTATCATTGCTTTCGTCGCTGACCTCGCCATCGTCGCTTTCGCCGCTTCTACTGCGTTCTGCCTTCCCGTATTGACTCCTGATTCCAGTGTCGCCGCTGGCTTGATGACTTATGTCAACTTCGCGCCCAATGCCTGCGGCTCCACCAACCTTGGGTCCTTGAGAAGGCTGATACTTTTCAGCGACCAGTAGAGTAGATGCACTTCTTTCTTGAATCAAAACATTCTGATGACGCCAACTGTCCTCAGTTCGTGCATCCAAAGGAAGTTGGTGACTTTCGTCGAACGCGTTGTCGAGGTATTCCTCACGAAATTGAGGAATATTACTTTGATCTTCGCCTTGCTGGGACTGCGTGACTATCCTTCCAACTGACATCAAGCCTTTGTAGTCTCCATCTAATCTGGCTCTTTTATGCCTACTCCCAGGATCGTTTACTGACTGTTGTGGACTCGGATGGGTCATTGACTGACGGCGTTTCTGGAAGGATGTGTGAGCGGGGCTTTCTTCCGATCCCTCTTCCGCTAGATGTTTCTCAACGATTGCCTGGGCTCTTCCCGTAAAGGCCGAGGAGATGTCGTCTTTGCCAGGCCATTTTGCCAAAACTTCACTCAGCTCCCGTCGCTCGGTGGAGAGTGCTGTTATAGAGGACGCAAACAGACATAGGTAGTAAGTTGGGTCACCAAGCTCCCATCGTATAGTGAACAGGCACTTCTGAGCTGATTTGTGTCGACTTCTCGTAGGTTGAGCAGCGGTTGTATGATATGGTGGGTTACGAAGTAAGATGGCTGTTCGGGTCAGTCTTTTGCTCAAGTTGTCATCGGATAGTCCGTGCGCAAACTGGTCCAGAAAGGTTGCAAGATTGTCGATATGCCTAGCCATGATACGGGCCGTAAAATGGCTACAAGGGAGTGATGGATGAAAGCATGAATAAAGACTGGGTATGAATGGATGGGTGTATGGGACATGAATGAATATATGAGGAGAAAGGCCGCTCTTGGTTTCCATCAGTCCAACTCTAATTCGCTAGAGATAAGCAAGATCAAGTAAAATCCACGAATCAGGGTTTTATCACTAAGATCTGCGACACCCTGTTTCGTTGATTGGCACACAACAGACCTTGTGGCACCTGAACTCACCAGAAGCGACGTACACCCTGCTGATCTTGGGACTTGTCCGTGCACATGCATGGTGCCACTACGCATCTATTCATTTATCTTATATCCACTCGTGTCCGATTCATCTATTCATCTCAAGCTTTTACTTCGCCTGTCAGGGTGGTGTCAAGGGCAACGCGCCATACAGCATAGCGCGATCTTTCTTTCCTTTTTTTCACATTACGTCTTGTGTCTGGACCTGACCCTACCGTTGACTAGAAGCCATCTATAGCTTTGAAGCTGCTCTCTAGACCTGTGATCTTTACATTCCCATGCATCCAAGATGTATCTTCACCAATACATGTACAAATGGTAGAGACCGAGTTTCAATCACGGTCACATAACCGATTATGGGTGATCAATGGCAAATGCACTGGCCAGTCATTTCAATTTGAGTGGATCAAGTGAGATGACAGTTTCGGAACTTTCATCATCTTCTTGCAGGCCGCGATTCCATTGGCCAGAGCCAATTTGTAGCTGCACGAGTGAACTCGATTATCAATACGAGGCGGCCGCCACTAAGGGTAGAGAAGGCATACAAGAGACTTACGACCTATCACTGGATTAAAAAAATCTAAGGAGACTGAATATCAATCACACATACTCCAACATTAGCTCTAACCGAAAACTGTTCGCGAGTCTCACGCAACTCTTCCTAAGAAGGTGTCAAGCAGCAGTTTTCTGGGAAATCATATGCACGCCACAGCCAAAGCTGAGAGAAATGGCTCATTTCGGCGGATGCGAGGTAAAAGCATCTGATCTTATTCATTACTGAGGGGGGATGATGAGCGAATGGGTGGAATGCATGATGAATGCATGATCGAAGAGTAGATGAATGCATGCATGGTCGCATGCCTTCAACCTGCGTCAGGGACTCTGGTCGTCTTGGCCGCACGGGCTAATTCTCAGCCATCATCATTGCAACCGAACCTCGGATTAGGTAAAATAATTGTAAAACAAGTTACATACTCTACTGCCAACACCAGAAGACCACCGTATAAGACTGGGAAGCTTTTCCGATGGCGTCTGCATAAATAGTATCGCGCTCCAGTGTCATTGGCGGAGGTTCGATCAGCAACAAATCTGCCGGAGCCTACTCGTTGTCTTCATCTGAACGCATCAACATGAACGCGCATTCCATTCATCTCTACAGAACTGTCCGAGTGGCAGTAAAACAGTCTTACGGAGCTTTGTTGACAACGGAGGGCAAAGAACAGCAAATCCTATTCATCCAACAGGACGGAACATTCGGTGGAACAGGCCAAGTTGCTACATATATCATGCAACACGAAATGATCAGTATCCGAGCAGAAATCATTCGCTTGTCTGCCTATCCCGTATGTAACTACGTTTGGAGGTTGAATACCGATCATTTCAAGTTGTAAGAATGCCCTCGTAAGCTGCAACTTTGAGGATAAACCTGACAACAAGCAGACGAGTGAAGTTCACATCTCCTTGGCAATCCTTTGCTCAGCTGGCTTGGATCCCATCTCCAGAAGGGTACCGCTTAATAGTAACTGCCTCATTCTCTCGTTTTCCCGGCGAGGTGGTTGTGCGGATGGGTCCGTCAGGCCGGGCGGTCGGCACAGCTACTCAAACTCTTGTCGCCGGCCAAGGCTCGCCCATGACCTATTCAGTCGATATCGGCGCCGCGGAGGACGATTTGATTGCCATTTTTCAGCCAGATGATCCAAATTTGGCTCCTGTGCTATCCCAGATATTTATAACACCACCCTTTGGATTGAATATCGAGACTGTCCAGCCAAATCTATATCACTCCAACGAAACTTTTAGCATGCCAGACCAACACAATGCAGTCTGTGCAACTGAAGCGGAAATTCGCACGGGCTTCTTCCTCCCACATTGGACCAGCGACTCCTCTCCTTACCATCCAGAAGCTAGCCGGCAAAATTGTGTTTTACATCGATACCAATCGCCGTATGCCGATGAATACAGCCCCGCTTCAGGATCAACATTCAGCATAGGCTCAGAAGATCAAAGTGGTGTGCAATTTGACACCATAAATTCGGCTGGTACCCAACATGACGCTGCTGATGATCGTTGCATCGTCGTCAAACTTCTGCCGTAGGCCAATGGAGGGGGGGTTACTCACCTCGGGGATGGGAAGACTGGAAGGAGGATGAAGAGAACTTGTGGAATGATCCCTCTTGGAAGGTGTTCGACTGTCCTACGCCGGAGACGAATCTGCCGCCGCCAGGTGTAGATGAAGTCGTGGTAGCCGAAAGAGGTGACAGCGATCAGGCGTCTTCTGAGCATCCAGAGCAGTTGGACGGCATACTCAAGGTCGCACCACTAACAGACCAAATATCGCCGCTCCCGCCGCCATATCTGTCGTTAGGAGACAAGTCTGTCGGCTTGTCACCACATTCATCACAAACATCAAGCCCCGATCCGTCATCCACTTGTGACCAGAAAGTGTCCGCATCTCCAAGTGCCCGCATGATTGACGAGTGGCAATCACCTCTAAACCCGGCATTCCCTAATAACAGAGCAGATTCCATGCCCAAGAACGAAGGGAAAAAAAGGAAGCTGCAGGATGATAATCACGATAACGAGAATGGACAGAAGCGCCAGAAGCAGGTATAGCATCAGCCGGGTTTTTATCAGATGTGTTGATAATAAGCGTATATACTCTTCATCCTCGTGGCCTGGAAAGCCTGTTGTAGGGAAGGGGGCAGGCTTAGGTCTGATGATATCATCATACCTGTAAAGAACGCCTTTCTTCGTCTGACTGGTGTAGCGATGAAAGGCGCATGTAATGGTACAAGGGAAATACATTGTGATCCTCTAACGTTAGCACAACATCTGCTAGTCGGAGTCGAATGAATGAGGTGGCAGCTCCGGGTACAATGACAAGTAGATCGGTTGAGCGTGAATCTGTCTAGAAGCAGCATGACGGTGCAGCAAATACCTCAGAAACGATCTGTCAGGCTGCTTAGTACCAAGTGAAGAGATCAGTCGTGCACCTAGGTTTTGGTCGTGACTTTTGTTCGAATCTCCCACTCCCTAAACTGAGCCCCTCATAATTCACCATTTAATCCATCAGAGACGGGATAATGCCGGCCCGAGAACGGCGTCTTCCCCGCCCATTTCGCGCCCAGGACTCACTGGCGCCATGCATTCTGACAGATGAAGAACAACGAAGCCCCAAAACATGATCAAAAGCGAGAACAAAATTTTTGAAATCGGAGCAAAGACAGCGCCACAACACACTCCGAAGTGTTAATTGAATAGCCGTGTGCTCGTCGTGAAGCCCACAGCGACGTAGGCACCATGGCAACCCCATGGCCTCAGGAGCAATTATGGCCGACCTCGGAGCCAGCTGCTGAGAACGTTCGCTGTAGGGCTTAGCACGGGTATGACCTCTTCAGCTCGTCTGCTTAAGGCAGCACTTGAAGTTGCATACGGAGCACAACTGCGCAACTCTTGATTTACGTGCTTTCTTTCTTTGGATCCTGTGATGGCCGATGCTGCGGGAAGGGTGGTTACTCATCGGGCGTGTGGTGGCTTTCTGGCCATCTGACTTCGGAGCGGCTTTCGGTAGCAGCGCATCCATGCACGGTTGCAAGTGGGGCCGTGCCAGCGCCGGAGCAGGGCTGTGGGAAGAGCGTCATTTGCAGCGTCTGTTCTCTCGCATTTCCATATTGCACAGTTTGATAATCAGTTGGGCAACCCACGAGTCTGCCGGGCGTAGCAGCTCAGGGGTGTGATCGATCATGTCTATCTATGCTTAGTCCCAGGTAGACTCAGCGCAAAGCACGTCAATTGCTCCGACTTGCAACTTGAATCCGAGTCCTTCATCTCCTCTCATTGGCGCCACACTGAAATTGTTCCCACGTACTAAGTCATCTCACACCTTCCTAGCCACATTGACAGCGGTCTCCTGCTGTGTAGCGTTCACATGTCCCGATATGTGACCCCGATATGTGACACACCACGGAGTCTAGTTCTTTCGCAAATCTTTCACTCCCTTGGTTCTCTGATGAAGTCGATTTCTCCAATAACCCCTACTTCCTCTTCTTGTTTCGACAGTTCGAACTGAGCAAACCGAGAGGTGAGCGGCGGCTGAAATCCGCGCGCTCAAAGTCCACCACCACAATACCTCCACCCGCTGTACTGTGATTGCGTAACACGTTGCGTAGCTTTGCGTCGCCATGAAGAACACCTAACCTATGTAAGTTCTTATACGCCTGGGTGACTGCATCAGTGTCGGCTTTGGTTGCTTGATTGGTGGGGTCAAACAGAGGCGTTCCGGCCCAACTGAGAAATAAGACATGCTTGTATACGCCACTGTCGTAGTACAACGGCAGGGTTAAATCTGTCCGTCCCAGGCAGACGGGAACATGTTTTCCCTGAATCGAGCGGAGTCGATCGTACACCTCATTCTCATGGCGAAGGCGAGCCAGATCGAGTGTCTCAACGCCTTTAGCGACGAAAGTGTAGCCATAGGAGGACATCCTAACCTTAAAAAGTGAGCCGGTTGAGCCGGACAGGTGAAGTGGTACGACGTCAGCATCATAACCACGGTCTTTGGCTAGTTGAATACGGATGAGTCGGAGGAAATCCAGTCGGTTTAGGTGCTGATGTCCGTGATCCTGGAAATTCTGGCAGTGTTCGTCCGGGAGCCAGCCGTTCACTAATCCGAGTAGACATTGCGGCGTACAGAACTGACGATCCTTTATGTTTATTTGCTTCCCTTGGCTAGAAAGACGGTTTTCCTGGGCCTGTATACCGGCCGAGTCCGCACTCGACTTCGTGAGAGCCCTTCCGCCACTGAGAACCGATCGTGTCGGCGTGCGTGAAGGAGGTGTCCCTTCTTCATCGTCACCGCTATCATCTCGCTGCTCTGAGTTGCTGTCGAATCGCTTGCACCGAGACCGTGTCTGAATCGGCGAGCGCTTGAACCCTCGCCAGCGTTGGGGCTTGTACGGAGGGGCGCGCGCTTCCTTACCCTTACGCACTGTTTCGGGTATGTTTCTTAGCACGTCGTCGTACTCTACAGCCCAGGTGTCGAAACCCGCGGCAGTATCGTGCCAGGAAAGTGAAGGCGGCTCAGCACGCAGGGCCTGAAGGATGAACGCAAAGACCTGCGCAACAGCTGTGCCATGGAGCCTGTTCTCGTCGTCGTCATCAAGAACGCCTAGGTTAGGCACGCGCACAGAAGAATATACGATGGTAGGATCATCAGGAATATGTAGGAAGACGAATGCCTCTCCTGTGCACACATATCCATACTGGATGCCTTTGCCGATGATGTACGAGAAGAGCTGGGTCCCAATAGCGGCAACGAGCGATCTCGATGCAAACGCAAACACCTCACCGTCCTTACCTATTACGTCACGTTCCGGTCTAATCTCGGACTCTAAACCGGTGACGACCTCGTCGCGTCGCAACTTATGCGGTGCCTTGTACTCAATCGCCAGGGCCGGAAGGTTTCGGCCGTCGGAGGTGCGGTATATGCAGAACTGATCTGCCCGATTGCCCTTGCCTCTAGCTCTTCGTCGGGGCTTGCGGCTCGGTAGTCTCGAGGTTATTTCCGCAGAGTCGGCACCATCCCACTCGATGGACATTTGCTCCATAGGGTCGGATAGGGCTTCGTCTGTCTGTCCGAGGTTCGTGTGACTCTCGAAAGTCACAGTCCCTTACAAGCCGATGTCACTTCGGAGTCGCGTGTTGCTATTTGCCTCGCCAACCAGCTTTTGAACCGCGTTCTCGACCGTATCGCGCTGGAAGTTCCGGAGGCCAGTCTCACTGCTGATCGGGCTGATCAAAGACATGACGTAGTCTAATTGATGCGGCGATGGAAACACGGGTCTCGAAGCGAACGTGCGGGAATTTGAGAGTTGATCCCATATCTCCTCTTGCCCCGTCGCGAAGTGATCCCATGGAATGATTCGTCGAGGGAAAATCTGGCCGGTCGGGTTGGTCGTACCGCCTTACGTAGTTAAGGTGCGATCGGTCACCACCTTAATGGCGAGGCTGAGCGAGTGACAAGATGCGAGATACTTTTGAAGTGTCTGTGGTAGTGACGCCTTCGCGAGTACGATAGCTTCACGAAGCTATCGTCGTAGAAGTGCGGTTTCGTCTTCCATTGTGGTCAAAGAGATGTGCAACAGGGAACAAACTTAAACGAAATCGTGTGGAATATTGACAATACGTTCTGTCTTGTTTTTCAGACGTGGTATCGCATTTGATTCATGTTGCCTCAATAACGCTTGCGCCGATTATTCAAAGTCATGTCATCCGAGGTATGTGGGTCTGTGTTTACTACCAACCACTATTACCCGGGCGAAAAGTCGGGCCGTAAAACCTTCTGAGTGGGGAGTATTAAAGAACGCGTGGGCATCTCCCTACCTTCGGAAAAGACCGGGCTCCAGGACTTCCTCTTCAGCCGAGGAGTACCAGGCATAACCAGCGCTAATTGCTAATGCCGGGAAGGACGATAAACGGTATCGCATATCCTGCTGCGATGCCGTAGGTTTCGATAACTCCGGCGCCAGGAATTCGGCGTAAAGTAGCCGCTAAGGTAATCCGATTTATAGAACAGCCCGAGATCCTTGGGCAATACGGGATCGAGTCGTAAACTAGACTAAGCTGAATATTAGGAGGAGATTATAAGTACGCTGAACCGTTATACAAGGAGGAAGACTTTAATAGAGCCTAGATACGTATGTATATTAGTAGAGAACCGCGAATTATACGAGGTAGTAGCTAAGGGTAGCTGAGGTTGGAGAGCAAAGTGGGAGATTTGGAGATAGCTGGTTAGTATTTTGTATTGGCGAAGTGGGTCGTTGCGGATTAATACACGGAGCGCGTCGGCCGTTAGCCAAACCCCGCTATCCGGGCAGAGCTGCTGACTAAAGCGGCCAAAACCGAGTAGGAATTAATCAATCAGCGGATACCCAGGTCGCTTGCATTCAGTGCACTGAGATTGGGGTGGATCAGGAGGTAGTTCAACTTGCTGAACTTGAGAAATGGGTTGAGAAATCGGCGGGGAAATTGGCGTCGGCGCAGATTGAGCAGGGGAATTCTGCGCATTCAGGGAACCAAAATCGGACAGTTTGGAGTGCTTCTTCCGAATCTTGAGGGCAGCATCTTTTGCCCTGCAATCGGAGCAAGTCCGGTAAGACCCCGAGATACCAGAACTCCAAGTGCGTTGGCACCGAGTACATATAGAGGAAGGGGTGTCTGGCATGAGAAGAGCTCAGCGACATCAGATGGCTGCGAAGTGGTAAAGTGGTAAGGACCGTAACGACGGAAATTTGAGAAGCTGACAAAGAAGAGTAAGGTTGAAATACAAAGTGGAGAGGGATGGCAGAAATCGCGGTAGGCGACAAATGTGGGGTGATGGAAAGTTCCGTCTGACATGCTGCGGCCAAAAGCGAGATCTGCCTAATATGTTTTAGATCAATCAATCAAGCATCTGATGTTGCTGTGCTCTTCTCATGCCAGACACCCCTTCCTCTATATGTACTCGCAGAAACAGCGCACATGAGACTAATCTCTCAGTTCACTAGCTTGGCCGTGAGCAAGCCGTTTGCCGATTGCAGTGTGACGTGACGCAACCGACGATGGCGGATACAGCAGAGCCTGTGATCGTGGTGAGCAAAGACAACCCGCGCGCTACCGCGCCACGAAAGCTTTCTTGCGGCCCGACCCTATACAGTTGGGAATAAGGGTAAAGAGACAAAGGGCAAGTTGTTTAGCTTCAAACCCCTTTTCGCCTCAGCAAGGACCTGCCAGTGGATGACATCATTCGAATGATGATTCAACAGTCAATCCAGGGTTCGTAATACATTCTGTGTGATGCAACCCTCCACGTCGCAGCTGTCTTTCCTTCAATGGGCTAGTAATGGAAAGTAAGCAAGGGTGACATGCCATGGCAGCTAGCAGCCTCACATCAGGAAACCTTGGATTTATATATATATATTGTCGCAGGAGGTCAGCTTAGTGGCTATGCGCGGCCTTCTGTGGCTGAGGTAGAGCGCCTACCAGCTGCCTGAGTTAGCGCTCTCAGCCAGCTTTATCACCTCGCCGCTACACAGCTCAAGTATCTGAGTCTTGGCTGGGCAAGGGCGGAAGGGTGAGAATCAGGGGCCATTGAAAAAATCAGTAGTTTGCCGGGCTTAGATGTGAAGGCATCTGGGAATGTGAGAGGTTGCAAGTGAGTGAGTGAGCTGCAGCAGGTGCGGGTGTAGTGCGGGTTGCACTGACAGTTCTTCGCGTTTGAGAACGGAGTCAATTCCGACAAGTCTTGTTGATAGTTATCAACTTGATAAAATCTCAAGTCTATACTAACTATAGAGAGGAAAACCTTGTTCGTAGAGGACAGGTTTTCTGTGTCTTTGTCTAGGCAGTACATGTTTTCTTCCACTACGTTATCTGTAGCCTACGCAGGTATCGCGACTCGAACCACAAAACCTCTCTTGTGATTATGGATGTCTTGTCGCCCGCGCTGTGCTGTGTATGACACCAATGCTGCGATGGCTGATGTGGGATCACTGGTATGTCTACCAAAGACTAGGCGACGCTTTTGAGGCTAAATAAGAGTAATAACCCCTGCACCTAGCATTCTCGGAATCGCGACAGTAGCGGTATTTGTTAAGCCATTTGTCGCCTAAAACCGATGTTAGTTATCTCTCAGTTTAGGGATGCCGAATCTGCTTCAACGTACTTAGCCTTTGTAGATTACTCTCTGAGACCTTGCTTTCTGTTGTCTTGCCTCCCCAGAACACCTTCTGATTGGAACGCCTGGCGAAGTCGAATCTGCCCAGCGTCCATTCTTTCTCATCGGGTTCCCTCTCCCATCTCACATGCCACACTTCTCCCCAGAAATTGCGGCCTTCTGTGGTGATGCTGACTTGGCCGGCGAGAAACATGTAATGAATACAACTGCCTTCGGAAGAAATTTGGCAAAGCATGAAATAGTACCACTTGCCGTCTTTAAGAGTCTTGCCAGCCGCCTGAGCTGCGTCGTTGACTAGCGTATATGTTGATGAATCGTCGCGGGGTTGAAGTCTGGTTGTCTGAGTGTAGTGTGGGTGTGAAGTCGCATCGTCCGTTTGAGAGCTAAGCGTAGCCGCTACACTACTGCCTGAATCCCGAGGGTGGATCAGGCCTCCAGACGCAATTGCTACAAGGAAAAGAAACAAGAAAGTAAGACGGAACATAACGACAGCTTTAACATAGACAATGTTCCATAGAAGAGGGAACTCAGTACGGCAAGTAGATTGGTGAACAAAGAAAGTCTTCCTTTATTTGTAAGTTGACATCAATAACGAATTTCCCAACTGCATAAATTTAATCATTTCACCAGAGATTGCGATGTACCCGCTAATATTTATCTTCGAAAACTAAGTTTTTAGACTAAAATTAGGAGCTGAGTAAACTAGCCCAAGCTAAGCATATACATCTCACAGTGGGTACTTAAAACTCGAAGATTACCCGACTATTGTTGCGAAAGAGAGGCAAATAATTACGGATCTTAAGCAGAATTGAGCAACAAAACAGCGATAGTTCTGTGAGAGACAGGTGTATGATTGATAGGAGATATGTTTTCCTGAATGTAGGCAGCTCTCTTCTATAGGGGTGAAGCAGATGAGGACGAAGACGAGGTTCGCGGGCTTCTGGCAAAGACAGCCGGACATGCCAGAGTGGCGCATTTGGACAGTGTCAGAGGACGGAGACATGTCCTTACTTAAAGACTTGCGGATGCCGATGGCGTCTGATCTAAGATATCAGTCAGCGTTGAAGCCGCCTCGTCTGGACTCGACATGCCTAGTCGACTGAGTTTTGTTTTCGCTGCTCTTTGTCTCCCATGTCCCTACTTGGCCGCATTCTCCGTCTATTTAAAAAACGGCTTCTCCGTCGCTGGGGGGGGACCTGCTGACATCAACAGGCAGAGGGTGCCCGACGCCTTAGCAAAGTTTCGATAGGTATGGCGGCATCTAGCTGGCTTGCTGCGGTATCCTTGCCTTGGCCTTAGCTGAACGGATGGCATAGCTGCATGTCCCTAGCAGATGGCCTGGCCTGGCCACCATGGCTAGACGAGAGTCTATGGGATTTGGACAAATATGGATGGCTTAACATAACCTAAGCCTTAACTGGCATTTCCTGTTTTTTAATATTTGTTTTGCATCGCCAGGGACACCCTTTGTTCCCTCTCACCCCCTCACTTCCGGGGTTTGATATTTCGTTCTGGTTTACTCATTCTCGGTCGGAAGGCTCGCTATGTGAGCATGCTGACGGCGCCGAAACAATCCGAGCTCCAGCCCGGCGCCAGCGCCAGCGCCAGTACCTAGCGACGGATGCACGTGAGTGCGGGAATTTAGCAAAAGAAATAGCGTGCAGCCACAGCTATGGCAGCCTTTTGTTCCAATTCGTAATGCCCTTATCTCACAGGCTTCTCCAAAGCATTTCCATCCGCAACCATCACATGCGGCAGCATCTCAATGTCTTCAGGGATCGAGTCGACCAAACCGACACGACGGCACATTTCCAGAGCGATAAATCAAAGCTCGGAGGAAGCTCGGAGAAAACCCCCAGGAAAAAAACCCTTCCAGCAGAAGAAGAAATCGTCCCGGATGACAGGTTAGCAGTATGACGCGCTCCTATCACCAGTCAGTATTTGGCGAACCTGGTCGCCCGCCAGGCCTGCCCGTGTTATTCCTGCGCTCAAGGCTACGACGGAATCTCTACGAGAGATTCTACCCGCAGGACCGGAACTGTCTCGAGTGCGCTCAGACGCCGTCCCCTGACAAAGACTGCTTGCACCACATATCGTCGGAGGAAATCCAGGTGCGATGGCCAGCGTCCCGTATGTTCCTTATGCGCCGGTATGGGCCGTGATCGGTGTGAGTGTGATGCCGGCCCAGCCTTTACTCGTTTTGCCGCCCTCAAAACCAAGCATGAGGGACTGGTGCGTCGCGTCACCCTTTTTGAAGAACTCTTCGGTCTGCTGTTAATGCGTTCCGAGGCCGAGACCGTCGAAATCATCGGCCGTATGCGCACCGTCAATACTGAAACGGATTCCGAAGATCGCGTTAAATTCATCAAGAACGCCGACTTGTTGATGCAACTGGCCTCGGCCTAATTAGGCCGGACACCTCCCGCCTCAGGGGAATCAAATGTCGACACGCAACTCCCAACCACGCCCTTGGACGACGTATCCTCTCTTCTCCAACATTTGTGATATGACCTAGTCCCCAACTCCCTCTGGGCTTTTCAAACTGCCAGCAAGACACCAGAAACTCGGCCGATTCTAATCTGGACGTCTCGGCTCGGAGTTGAGCGCTCACTTTCGTGATCACTGGCGATCACGCCTCATTGGGTGCACATTTCCTTATCTCCTTGTGACCTTGTATCATTGTTCTACCGAGCTGGAAGAGTCGCCCTTGTTTCCATATTTCAACTTTCGGATCTAGTTTCTACAATTAGCTCACCTCAGTCGTGCTGACAGGATACTGTCACTTATCCCGACCAGGCACGATTGGTGTACCTCACCCCGAAGCGCCCGTCTAGACCCCGCTACGATGCGAAGCATCCCCGTACCGAACTTCGGTTGCTAGCAGTTGATTCGGATACGGAACCCCCTGATAGTAACATAGCCGGGGTGGGCGCTTCGGCGGCCCGCAGACGGAAGCTTTGGGGACTATTACCAGTAAGCCACTCGGGTGTCGTTTCGCCTACCGGCAAATTGAATGCGGTCAACGTAGTCTCAAAACTCGACCGACCTGCTCGAATCGGTCTTCCGAAGCTCCCGCAGCCCAGTCATGCTTCTGCTAGTCGAATCCGCTCACGGTCGGCCTGATAGTAACAGTGCCCAGAGCCGCCGCCGCCACCGGATAGCTCCAGCTCGATCGGCGCTTATTGTGCTGCCATCGAAGGGGCCCTGTACTGGGGACTCCGATCTCGGTGCTCGATAGATATGATTAGGGTTGCAATTCGCTAGGTCTTCCAAGTGCTTCAACCGTTAGGGCCATGAGTTAGCATTGCATTACATTGAACGCACAGGACAGAGGTTTGAGGGACAATAAATTCTGTCTGTCTTTCTAAGCGTCCACATTATATACTCTGTAGATCTGACCTAGGTTTGGCACTCAATTTGGAACTTCTGTCCCTTTAGCCATCCGTCTACGCTTTACCTTCTTTGATCGTCTCTGCGTGACCTGGCCTGATGTCCTGAGCGAAACGCCATGGGAGTTCTGTACATGCCGTCTGAACTCATCTAGTGTCACGATATTTGGGTCATCCTGGCATTGAGGATGGTTGCACCGAATGGGATCGCCACGTTGCACAGCACGCTCTCGTTCTACTAGATGCTGGTCGTCAAAGTGGTCATTTCTGACCGTTGGCCGGCAGTATTTGAACGTCCGTTCTTCTAGTGAAAGCCTGCCATCCCCAACACAATCAGGGCACTGATTCGGATCAAGGAGTAGTGGGAAGGGCTTGGGTTGAGGAGTCTCTCCGATGGGTGGCTTGGATTGAGGATGGGTGCGGATGCGGTCTCGTCTGACCGTCTCTCTCTTGTCACAAAGTGTGACCATCAGATCGATAGCCTCAGTCCAAAGCTCCATGAGTTTGTCGTGAGAGCAGTCGGCTGGTTGGTGG